TGAACATGGCCAAGGGCACCGTCCAAACTGGCATGGACACCACCAAGACCGTCCTGACAGGCACCAAAGATGCAGTGTCCGCTGGCCTCACTGGAGCAATGGGCGTGGCCAAGGGGGCCGTCCAGACTGGCATGGACACCACCAATACCGTCCTGACAGGCACCAAAGATGCAGTGTCCACAGGACTCACTGGGGCAGTGACTGTGGCTACAGGGGCTGTGCAAACTGGGCTGAATACAACCCCAAATGTTTCAGCTGGCACAAGGAACACCATCTCCAGTGGCATGGCTGGTGCCGTGAATGTGGCCAATGCTGCTGCTCAGTGGGGTCTGGACACCTCGAAGGCTGTCCTCACCGGCACCAAAGACGCCATGTCCACTGGGCTCACCAGGGTAGGGAACGTGGCCCGAGGAGGTGTGCAGACTGGTCTCGGAACCATCCAGAACTGGTTACCTGTTTCCCAGGATGCTGCCTCTGGTGGACTCGCCACTTCCGGAGCCCCAGATGAAGGAGAACAAACCATCCTGAACCCTCATGAGGCTCAGTCCTGTGGGGTCTCCAGGCCCCCGGACACTCTGTGTGCACGCCTAGACCTTGCTGGGAAAGCCACCACTAATACCAAGGGCCTCGTGTCAGCTGAGGTGACTTTCACCCCAGAGGCCGCCCTGGGCAAGAAGGATGACGTAGGGCCTGGGGCCACCACTTGCGGCCAGGAAGGAGCCCGGGGCTTTGCAACACTCCGGGACGCACTGGAGGAGCTGGGGGAGATCTTCCAGCCCATGAGCGCCGAGGAGCAAGGTGAGAACAAGACAGGCTGGTCCCAGCTCCCAGGGGCCCGGTCGTCTGTCCAACACATGCCCCTGACGCCCGAGGGGCCTCTCGGGTCGAGCGACCCTGTCTTCCCTTTCAGCTCAGCTGGCTGCCTCCCAGCCCCGGTTGAGGGAGGCCACGGCCGACCAAAGCAGCTACTTCGTGCGTCTGGGCGACTTGGACCCCAGCTTCCGCCAGCGGGCTTTCGAGCACGCCTTGAGCCACCTGCAGCAAGGCCAGTTCCAGGCCCTGGACGTGCTGGCCCAGCTCGAGGACGCGTTTTGGCTGGTAAGAGCCCTCCCTTCCACCAGTGCCTTCCTCAGCCACACGGGGGGGACTCGACAGACACATACTGAGCACCTAGTAGACAATGGCCGTCGGCCACTCAGTCACGGGTCTGCTCTCAAGGAGCTTGTATTCCAGGGAGGAAGATGGACACAAGACCCAATACTTGCCACCAACGGGGTTGCAGAGAGGGAAACAAGACAGTCGTGCAGAGAGGGGCAGGGCAGGAGCGTGTCTGTTTGAGCCAAGTCGTGTGGAAAGTGGGGACCGCAAGGACAGACAGTGGCCTGAGAACAAGCTAGGTGTGTTCCAAGGAGCAGAAGGGCGGCCAGCGGCAGGGGAGGGTAAAGTGAAGGCGCTGACAGGGTAGGGGGAACCGATGCGATCTGGGTGGGGTTCAGTGATGCAAGGAAGGGCCCAGCGGAAGGTGACTTGAACAGCACCGTGGGGACAAGCACCGAGCCAGCGGGGTCATGCCCTCTCGCCAGCCCCACTCACGCCTCCGCCCCAGGCTTTCTCCCCCTGCAGCACCACTGACACCCACGCTGGCTCCTTGTGGGTGCTGGGGCTGACCTGCCTGCGGTAGGAAGTTTAGTGGCCTCCCGTCTATGGCTGATGCAGACGGTGATGGACCCCCAGGTCTGAGCACCTCTAGGTCCTCAAGGTCACGGGTCGTCAGTGTCGAACAGCCCCATCCACACAGGTGGCGAGGAACCCAGCCATGCTGCCTGAGTGGGGATCCCTGGGATGCGCTCAGGCATCTGTGTTTTCCATCAGTGCCCCAGGGGTCTGTGGTGAGCCGCGATTTGAGGACCACTGCTCCAACCCAGAGGGTCTCAACGGGGCAGTCGTGCCCCCAGGGGACACTGGGCCATGCCTGGGGATGTCTGTGGTGGTCACCCAGCGGGGGTGGGGGGGGGCGGGCGGGCTCCTGGCATTGAGTGGGTGGGAGCAGGGAGGCTGCTCCACACCCCGCAGCGCCCAGGACTGGGGGCTGAGGGTTGGCCTGATGCAACAGACATTTTATTTAAGGGGATCCCTCTGGCTACTGTGGGGAGGACAGGCCACCAGGGTCAAGGGCCAGAGCCAGGAAATGAGTGAGGTTTCTGAAAAAATCCTGGCAAATGCTGAGGGGGGCCTTGGGAGTAGCGTCGGCGGTGGCAAGAGGCAGTTGGGTTCTGGATGTGTTTCCAAAGCAGACCTACCAGCTTAGGTGTGAGACGTGAGAGAGAGAAAAGACCCTATGAGGCCTTGGGGACTTTTAGCAGGGGACACCTAGAAATGCCCTGGGTGGGTGGGTGGTGAACCTTAAGGCTTGGTCTTGGACAGGGTAACCTGGAGATGACTAGTAGGCCCCCTGATGGAGTCGCCGCGGTTAAGAGCTGGGAGGGTGATGGAAAGTTGGAGTCAACATTTGGTCCACTTGCTGAGCTCTCAGGAGGACAAAGGAAGATTAGTCAATGGGGGTGGGGGGGTTCCTATGTGCTAGGGACCCAAAAAGCAAGGAGAAAAAGGTCCTGACAGAGCTCCCACCCAAGGGTGGGAGATAAACAACAAAGAAACTCACGGTAACTCGACAGTGATAGGCCTCTGAGGAGAGACAGAGATCTGGCAGGGAGGGCCTGGGGGGGCCACCGTACTGGGCCAGAGGAAGCATGTTTCAGGCTGAGTGGGCAGCACGTGCAAAGGCCCTGAGGCAATAACATGCTTGACGTGCTCAAGGGACAAAAGGAAGCCAGCGTGGCCTGAGCAGAGAGCACAGCGGGATGTCAGCAGGAGGTGAGGTTGCAAGTGTCCTGAGCAGGCCACACAGGCCATGGTGAGGAACTGGATTCGGTCCAAAGGCCACTCACTGGGAGACGTGGGAGGATTTTGAGCTGGGGTGCGACATGGTGCCCCTGCCGTTCTGCTGAGCTCCCTGACAACCTCATGAGAAATTTGGATTATTGCCTCTTTACGTGAACCATCCTGGTGCAGCTGGCCCTAAACCTTTCCACCACGCCACAGGAAAGGTAGACACGAAGCTCCAGGCCAGGCCTGGGAATGCCGCCCCCGGGGGAGTATCGGGGAGGTCCCTGCCAAGAAGGCCTCATGTCTCTGCTGGGCTCTTTCCAGATTGAGAAGGCCCAGCAGGCTCCAGACTGGCAGCCGTGGCCGGACCAGGATCTGAGCAGCCAAGCCGGCGCCCGAGAGGTGCGTACCAGGGGGCCGGCGCTCCTGCCCCTCCCCTCCAGCCCCGCTCACCTCCCTCCTTCCGCCCACAGGTGCCAGCCGCCGGGGCTCTGTCCAGGGTCTGCAGCCTTGTCCAGCAGCTCCATGTGGCCTACAGCAGCCTGGCCTCCGGCCTCCAGGGCCTCCCCGCCGAGCTCCGGTGGCAGCTCAGGCAGGCGCGGCACAGCCTCTGCGAGCTCCACAGCGTTGTCTCCTCTGCCGCCTCCGTGGCAGAGCTGCCGGCCGAGCGCCTGGCCCAGAGCCGCCAGGGCGTACGCCAGGCGTGGCAGGGGCTGGAGCAGCTGCTGGAGAGCGTGCAGCACAGCCCTCCGCTCAGCTGGCTGGTGGGGCCCTTCGCCCTGCACCCCAATGGGCAGCAGCTGTAGGAGCCCCTCCCCCACCCGAAACCAGCCCCAATCCCCGGAAGCTCCGGGCCCTGCCAGCTGGCACCCCACCTTTCTCCCTGAGCACGGCTGGCCCTTCTCCTGGCCGAGGAGCCCGGGGCGGCTAAGACCCTCGACAGCGGCGGGGGGGCCCAGGCTTCTCCTGAAGATCTCAAGCAAGCGCTTCATTTAGGAACAAGAAGGGGAGTTGTGCCTGTCATGAAGGTTCTCCACTCAGCACCTCCAGTAGGGCCCTTTTATCTTTTACCTCTGGGGGGGGGGGGGTCTTCCACCCCAGCCTGGGCCCTCTAGCTATACCAGCTTGGCAGGCGGCCCCGCTCCTCCATCCTGGGCTCCAGGCAGCTCCGTCCTCGCTCTGAAAGCCCACGCCCCTCAGCAAACAGCACATGCCCGAAGGTACCAGAACGCCACCATCATCCTGAGGCAGGTAGGCCCCCACCGCTTCTGCCGACCCCCGGCCTGGCCCAGGGGCTTCATGAAGGCAAAGCCGCAGCAGCCACTGACAGCTGAGGACCGGACTGTCCGGGCGGGGTGGGGTGAGTACACGTCCCTTCCTGCTGCAGCCCACTCACCCGGCAGCGCCCCCTGGTCCTGGGTGATCACAAGGACCCCCACAGATGATGTTCTCAGGTCCCTGGGCCCAGAGGCTGCCGATGAAGGAATAAAGGGGCTCCCTCACACGGGATGGGGCCCTAGGGAGCACGTGACAAAATCTGCTCGAGGGACTCCAGGTGGTCCAGTGGTAAGGACTCTGTGCTTTCACGGCCGAGGGTGCGGGTTGGATCCCTGGTTGGAGAACTAAGATCCCACAAACCACAAGGCGCGGCCAAAAAAAAAAAACACAGAAAAACGTGCTCAACACACGTTCAGGTCTCAGTCACGTGCTCCAGGCCGGAGACCAGCAGCCCCTGGACAAGGGCCCCTTCCTTCCTGCCGTGCTCTCCCTGGATCCTTGGGGCGCCCTGCGAGGTGGGCTGCACATGGGAAAGTGGGACAACAGCGGGCCCGTCCCCCTGTTCCCCGGGAGATGCTGAGGGAGCTGCTGCGTCAGAAGTCCAGCGGCCCGAGGCTTGTCAAGCCCCCCCTTTCCACGCCTGCAGCCCCCCCTATCTGGCCGCCTCCTTGACGGAGGAAGTGAAGCGGCCCTGCTTCTCAGAAATCACCAGGTGCCCCAAGCCCCGGGACGGATGGGCCAGCTCTCCCCAGAGGGTCACCACGGCTGCCAGGGGCCACAAGGGGCCCTGCGCCACAGGAGCTGGCCGAGGCAAGACACGGGGACCAGTCCGGGAACTTCCCCGAGCCTTTCCTTCCTCACTCCCCATCACGGACAGCCATCGGAGGGGGTGACACTGGAAACAGTCGTTCATGGAAACCGAGCTCAGCGACAGCCTCCAATCCAACCAAACCAGACCAAACCAAACGGGGCAAGGGCAGGGGGCGGGGGCGGTACGCCAGGCCCAGGGAGCAAAACCACACCACGCCTCTCTCTCAGCCGGGACAGAGGGGCTCAGCCACCGGCAGGACAGGGGACACACGGTCGAGGCCACCGTTTAACCAGCAACCGCCATGTGCAGGTGCCTGGCTGGGCGCCACACACACACATCCCCCATCTGAATCCAAGCGACAGGTGAGCACAGAGAAGCCCAGAGTGTGGGGCGTCACTCGGCCCAGGTCACACAGCGAGGCCTGCCCCCAACACCCACGCCCTGTGCACATCGACGACAACAGACAGCCCTCAGCATCCCTCCTGGTACTTTTGGAAAGGCCTTGCTCACTGCCCCCGTCAGCCCTGCAGGGCCTGGAGCACCGTCAGAACCAAAATATATTCGCCGCTCACGGTGACCCTATGGCTTAAAACCCTCTGTCCCTGGACGGCCCCTTGACAACTGCAAACCAGTGATGCTAGAAAACCAAGCCAATAAAAGCAACTTTTTTCATTAAAAAAACCCTTTATAGTCATTTCATGTCCGTTGGAAATCACAGAAATTAGGCAGAAAAAAACCCCAGGGGGACAAATACGAACAACACAGCGTCTCCCCAACAGTTCTCTGTTCCCTGGGTGCCGGGAAGGAGCCAGGCAGGCCTCGGGGCAGCTGCGAGTGGCGGCGGGGCCCGGCCACTGGCCACCCGGCTCAGCTGTCCTCGTCGTCCAGGGACTCCGAGTCCACCCGCAGCCTCTCTCGCTCCTGCCGCTCCTTCCCAGGCCCGTCCAGGTCGGGGCCCTCCCGCGCGCTGCTGGTGGAGGACAGCACGGGCGGGCAGGGGTGAGCAGGCCCCTCGCCGTCTGTCTCCTTCCTTCCACCTACAGAGACCAACAGCCCTCGCCCCCAACCTCCCCCTGCCTGCCTGCAGCCCCGGCTCCCGTGGCGGGTGTCAGGAGGGAGCCACCCTCCGACAGCTCAGGCCCAGGCCAGCTGGCCCCGAGCTCCCTCCGAGGGGCCTGGGGGTCAGTCAGCGTGCGGGAGACTGATGTCCCTCGGGCCTTACCCAACTGGGAGCAGCTCAGACACCGGGCTGCCTTCTCCGGAAGTCGCCTCTGCGGCCCCAGCGACACTTACTCGTTGTGTGATGGATCTTCAGAGGAGCCGCCCCCTGGCCCCTCTTCTGAGTTCTGTCCTTCCTCCGGCTCCTTGTCCTCCATGCTCTCCCCCTTCTGGGACGTCGCCTCGCCGTTCACAGGGGCCGAGAGATCTGTGGGGAGAGAGGCTCGTGGGACGCTGTGGGGCAACCTGCCTGCAGAGAGCGAGCAGCGTGCAAGCACCCGCCTGTGCACCTGAATTCACCCGCACCTCCGAGCCACCGGACACACGGGGGCCGCGGCCGCGTGGGGCTCTTCCTCCAGCCGGCCCCTGGCCCGTCCACGCGGCCTGGAGATGGGAGGGGCCAGTAAACGAATGGCCGTGGGCAACACTGGGGAAAAGCCTGCCACGGCCGTGTCCAAACAGACGTAAGGAGAGACGCCCCCTCTGTGCTCTCCCCCGGGCAGCCTCGGCTTCGGCTAAGCCCTCTCGGTGCTGGTCTTAAGGGCTGCTCCAAACATGTCTCACCAGGACCGCATGACCCCAGCAGGAAAGAACGCTCTCCTGTCCCCGCAGCCACTGTCCCTGCCACAGACGCCCTTGCTCCTCTCAGCCCACCTGTGGCCCTCCCCTCCCAGACCTCTGCGACCGCCCGTCCCAGAAACGCTCGCGCACCTGGCCACACACACACAGCCTCCCCTGCTACCTGGCTCTGAGGGTCTGGATGGAGCCTATGAGCAGCACAGGGGCGTGTGGCCCAGACACCAGCTGCCTTGGGGACACAGCCAGCCTGCGCAGCGAGTGCCAACAGATGGCGCCACCTGGGCAGTCTGCTCGGCACCCCTCCTGCCAGCTCCTCACCAGTGCTCGCCTCGTCCTCCGCCCTCTCCGCAGGGGCCTCCTCTCCGGCCAGTATCTCCTCGGCCTTCTCCGGCCCAGTTCTGGTCGCCTTCTGGATAGCCTCGATCTTTGGTCCCAGGACCCGAGACTTGAGCCGGGCGTAGACCTCCGCAGCTTTCTCCATCACCTCCTTGTTGGCCTTGTAGCGGCGGATCTGGCCCACCAAGAGGCCTGGCTCAGGGGGCGCAGCCTCCTCACCCCCCGCCCGAGACCCTCCCCCATCACCGCACCCCGCAGCGCCTCCCATGCGCATGGCTTCCTCCTCGCTGACCACAGGCGGCCGTGGCCGGAAGCCCAGCGCCCCGAGCAGACCCGTAGCCCCACCACCAGCCCCTTCAACCTCTGGGCTCCCGCCACACCTTCTTCAATGTGGCCACCACGTCCGTGTTCTTCTGGAGGATCTGTGAGGTCACCTGCAGGGTCCCTAGTTCCTCTAATGCGTTCAGACACCTCTTCACATCCTGCAGGGCAGCAAGGGCAGTGAGGAGGGTCAGCGCCTAGCTGCGGGGGTTCTAGGGGGCCCAAGAGGGCAGAGAAGGACACCCTGGGCTGAGCAACAGGGAGCCCCGGGGACAGTGGTGAAGCACCCAGAACTCGAGGGGTCTTGGGGCCTCGTGTGGCACCACCTGGTGGGAACGCAGAGCACTGCACCCAGGAGGCCAAGCTGGGCCCTTATCTGGTGGGCGCCCATGTGAACAAGGACCCTGCCCTGCGCGTGCGGCCTGGCTTTGCCTCAGCGTCCCCAGACTTCTAAGGGAGCTCGAGCGATGAGGGGGCAGGGGAACTGAGACATGACCTCTGCACCCCGAGGAAGGTCTCACCGGATTGTCAACCTTCAGGGCGAACTTGATCTCGCTGTGCAGCTTCTGAAGCTTCTCCTCCACGGAAGGTTCTGTGGCCAAGAGAGAAGGCAGCGCCCAGGCCTGAGCGGGGTCCCTGGTGATGGGAGCCGGCTCCTCCAGGGCCGTCCCTCCTCCCGTTCGGCGACCTCAGGCTGCAACCAGGGCTGGGCAGCTGGCCCCTCACCTTTCTTCTTCTCAACCTTCCGGTCTGGTGGGAACCCTTCCGACCGCTTCCGGGTCCGTTCCATTTTCGCGGGCCTGTGGAGAGTCGCACCCTTAGAAGGCCCCTGACCAATGCCCCCACTGAGGGCCGGGGGCCTGTGGGGGGACCCATGGCCGCTGCAGAAGGAAACCATCAGGAGGCCCGGGAGGCTGGGAGGAGGAGGCTCAAGGCCCGCCTGACCTGGTCTAGGGCAGCACCCGAGGGGACCCAAGACATAACCCTTCCTCTAGGAAGTAAATAATGTGAAAGCCCAGAATTTTTTTTTTTTTTTTTTAACAGGTGGTTAAGGGTGAGTGGCTAGTTACGTAGACCCCAGCACATGAGTTACTCTGATATGATGCTGGGAAACGGCAGCTGGCATGTCACCGAGCCTTCGATTCTACATCCTGCTCGGCAGCCTGGCTGCCATATTCCCACGGGGCAGGTTTGTTTACTGATGGCTGGGATTCCACATAGAAAGTGGGCAGGGAGATGGGCTCTGTGCTCCCACCTCAGTGG